CGCTTTAAGAATATACTCCTGTATGGCGGTTACTAATTGTTTGACAGAAATATCGTTTTTGTGTCTCAAAAGAACTAAAACTTATTTAAGATCTACTATTGACGAAAATCGGTTAAATACTTAGTTTGGCTCTCCTGAGCATTGAATCGGAATTAGTGTCGAAAATTGACATTCAAGACCTAATCAATACATTCGCTAACCTCAAAAGCCGAACGAAAATGATTTAATATTTGACTATTAAATTTAAAATAATAAAGAATAATTTAATTAACAATATACTTCTGTATGTATTTTGTTTTAAAAAAAGTTTAAAATGAAACGGTGGCAAATTGCTTAATCCGCAACTGGCTTCTAGCAACCATATTTCTATACAAACTGTTGTGTACATTCGCAGAAACGTGCAGTATAATATTTTACATTATCTTGTTATTATTGTGTAGACGCGCATTGTTTTGAAATTGTACGAAAAATTGAAGAAAAAGTTCTTACAGAAATGTAAGATTACTTACTTAAAAAGTTATAACCCTCCGTGAAACTTAAAATGAGATATTTATCTGTGAATCACCACCGCTATTAATTATTTCATGTTGATCCACACTTTATAACACAAGCGCTCGCAGAAGCTATCTGCTATAGGCGCAACTAGGGAAATGAGCCAGGGGTGGATTACTCCCAAAATATTGTTATAGTCCTCAAAGAATAAAAATAATAAATCTCAGAATTTTGTGTTTGAGATTGACATAAATTTTAATCATCCATCAATATAAAATCAATACACAAAATAATTATTAAGTTAGACAACTTTTATTATTCAGTGTCAAACAGTGGCGTAGCCAGGATTTTTAAATGGGGGGGGGGCTAACCACTTTTTTTAGATAAGTAAGGTAAGAGAGGATATGAGAATTTACCCTTAACCCCCTCACCATCTACCACCAAGTTTTTAAACGTAATTCAAGCATTTTAGTATGGTTTTAAAAATATTTGTTAATATATAATTTATAATAATAATAATAATTTTGGTTTCAGTGTTTAGTCACTTGCTCCACTCTGACAGCTGCATTCTCTTAGGCGAATTTCTGGCAAATTCAGTTATTATTTTACTTTCATCGAATTGAAAGAGTCTCAATTCAGTCTGTTTTCCGACATGGTGCTTCTTAAAAAAATTTTTAAGCGATTAAGTGCTGAAAACGTTCTTTCCGGAGTGAAAGAGGTAACTGGTAACGTGGCGAATAATTGTAAAAGTATTTTAATTTTAGGTCGAAGGTTGGTGCGATGAGAGAGTGAATCAAGAGCAGAATTCGGTTTTGGAATAGTATTTTGACTCCATTGTTGCCCCCATATGAACAGGTCAGCTCTGATTGTAGATGAGGTATCATCATGGAGATCTTGGACATTTATTTTAGCAGCTTTTATAATATTTTTATCGTCATACATATTTAAATTGGCCGGAATAAGTCCTTCAAGTAGCATAACATCAATAAGCCTTTGATTAAAATGAGCATTGATTCTATTAAATAGTCAAGATACATTATACATATAAACACGGCCCATGGGGAAGGCTATAGCCCCCTTAGCCCCCCCCCCTTGGCTATGCCACTGGTGTCAAATGTCTTTTGCTTTACTTAGGAATATCCAAAATCAAAATTTGTTTCATAAAATCATACTTTTTCATCTTCTCATTAAAAATTGAACTGCACCTATGAGTAGTAACAAATTTTGTCTGTATGTAACTTAGTAAATAGAGATGTAACCCAGATGATTTGAGTTATAGCCTCCCCAAAACGAGCTGCATTCGAATTGGTTCCCAGCATTCCAGGTAACACACATCCAAATAGGTTCTCAATATTCCAGGTAAGCAGCACATAGGTACCTATCCGAACCTATTCCCAATTACAATCTAATAATATTTTATATATTTTTTTCTCATCTTGTCCACTCTATCGACGCTATACCATTACTGCCTATTACATATTCGTTTCTTATTTTATCTTCTCTTGTCACTCTACTCATCTATCTAAGCATTCTCATTGTCATTCTCATTTTCACACTCATACTCTGTTTAATTCACCTGTCAACACTCCAAACATAAAAAGAAATGGACAAATTAAAAACAAATATATATATATATATAATTAAAAATAAAAATTTTATGACAAAAGCCACAACTTTTAATCATACCAGCATATTTTGTAAACACTTGAAATCTATATAAAATGAGAAATAACATTGAAAATTCTTTAACCCGACAACTCGGATATACCCTTTGTAACAACCCGGGAACCAATTAGGACGTTTCTGATACTATTCGGAAACACTAGTACCTACTAGCTTTAGTTGCGCTTATACTATTTGTTAGAATTTATCAGTTAGAAAATAACAGGAATAATGTTAGAAATGAAATGGATGTTTATTTTTGACTAAAATATAATAATAAAAATGCTGAAAAATTTGTTTTAGAATTAATTGTTTTAAAATCATATAAAGTATATGTATATATTGTACCTAATTACTCATTATAATAAACTGATAATAATATGCAAATATAATTTTATACAGAGTTTATAAGGCAAATATTATTAAATACAAATAAAAACCTACAATATACTGCAGTGATTATTTAAATTTCATTTAATTTTTTCACTTTTCCTATCTTTAATTATAATAATTTAAAATTTAATAATTTATAAAATATGAAATAAATGTGAAGTTCAAATTAAATAGTTTTGCAATAACAACAACATAAAAAGTTTTTGATATAATTTGGGCACTTGAAAAAATCAAAAGGGTCAGCTGTAATTGTACACATTATGATTTAAATATTTGTACACATTTTTTAATCCGAGTACAATTATTTTACTACAAATGGACTAATAATTACGTTATGGACCATTTTATATTCACAGTAATACTGTGGAAGGAGGTACATAATTACAAGCAAATAGTAATAAAATATACAACAAATATTCGTTATTAATTATAAAGTTAAAAGTTTACTACGAAAACAAATAAATAAATTTCTTTATAGTTCATTTAAAAAAATAAATAATTTTGGTGGTGAGTACAAGTTTAATGAAACTTTGATGAAATATTGATCAAAAGTTATAATTTATAGGTTATCCTTACCAAATTAAATTGTCAAATACAGGATCTTCAAACAGTGTATAAACAGTTAATGTATGAAACTGACATGCGTTCACTTAGCATCGTTGTTTGACTCACTTTCTTCTTTATAATATTAAACATGGATACTTTACATAAATAAGTTTGAAGTATACTAAAACCAAGTGCATTATTGAAATGGCTATTAAATTCCAACGTAAATAGAAGAAAGTTTGTAAACAAATAAGACAGTTACACAAAAAAAAAAAATTAAACCGGAAGCATTTTAACTAAGAAATACGAATATTAATATGTTATTTCATTTTTTCGTTTACATTTTATAACGTATTCTAGTAAAATTGTTGTTAAAATTAATAATAATAATAGTATCTTTTATAGCAAACTATGAAGGAAAATATCGAAGTTTAAGTTTTTTTAAATGTATTTTTAAATCATTATTAGTATTTATCATTCACAATTCTAATTGAATTACATTATTATAGGCCATTAATTATGAATCAATAATATAAACCAGGAGCCTCTAACCTTTTTTATGGCGTACCAAATCTGAGATATGCTTTGGAAGTGCGTAAAATACAAGACCTACCTAATTATATAATTGATTTAAATTCTCTTATGTATAAATTTAACATATTGTGTCCTTACAAAATTATATTCAACTTTAAGAAAATTTTGTCGGGGAAAGAACTAGTTCCAGAATGATAATAAAAATATTTTTAGTGCTTATATACGAGGTATCAAGGCCGTATCTAGAAATTTTTTTCGGGAGAGGTCAAAAACATGTATATTATAATTTTATTGAATTTAGATAAAAATAAGACAGAAAAAGATTTAATCATCTTTTATTAAAATGAATATCATATTTTCATATGATATTATGATATAAAATTAAAAGCAGTCAATGACTAACTAGAGCTTAAGTCATTTTTGACTGAAAATATTTATGTTGGTATTAAAAATAAATATTTTAAACATTCGTAAAATATTGAAGAAATTTCGGTGGGGGTCCAGACACCCTGGACCCTCCCTAGATATGGTCTTGCGAGGTATACATCTACATATATCTACGGATTTATGACTAAAAAAAAAAAAAAACACGTAATAAATTAATATTTATTAATATGATTGAATTGCCAGGAAAAGTATATAGGTAAAAAGTGTAACCATATATATAAGATCATCAAATATAAAAAGATGAATTTTGGTTAAAAATCGTCGATTAATATATGAAGCCAAATTAAAATATAGTACATTCAACTATGCATAATGTTGATTTGTGTTTCAATATAATTGACGCAATAATGACGAAGTGATCGAAAAACGTAATATATATATAATCTACCCAATAAATATAAAAAAAAACGAGAGGCGACCACCGAGTACTCAAGTACTTTTTATATGTTGTATGCGACGAAGATTTATGGACCCCAAGCGTTTACATATAGCCCTGGAACGAGGAAATCAACCTTGCCCCAGGTTATGGACGTTCAACGTGTTCGATTTCCCTTTGCACGAAAAAACACAAAGAACCATGAAGAGTGTACATTGTACATACATAAAATCAGTCGTTGACAGACTTTGCTTCATATAACCCTTGTCACCCTTGTCGTTACCATTAAATGCTATTTCATCTACTCTTTTTCAATAATGTTGCATACAATGTAAGGAAATAAACGTGATAAAAATTATACCGTATTTCACGTTATACATAAGATATTTTTTTATTATTTTGTTTATAGTATACGTATATTTTTGTGTACGGACAACTGACTAGTTGTCCCGAAATATAATATACGTATTGCACGAGTAAGGTAATCTTGGGTGATCAATTTTTGTAGGAGAAAAACATTCACTGTAGGATATATTATATAATCAATATGTAAATTGTACAAATCTGTGACACAGTTTATTAAAATAAAAATGGAAACAGACAAAACATAACGCGTTGACGTGGGTATATGGTATTATATTTATATATATACTAAAGACAAATACATTAAAATAGTTTTAAATAACTTAAAAATTATTTGGAGAAAAAAATATAAAACATTGGGAGACTAAACTGAAGTTACTCTGTCTCGGAACAATGTAACTTATATATTTATAAGTTGTACGGTGGATATTGGTGGTATCGAAATGTATCATTAACTGCATTAAAAACATTTAAGAATTATTATAAACGGAAACAAAAGGAAATCTTTGAAATGTTTATTCAAATATCGTGAAGTCTATAAGAATACCGCAGGTGTAAATAGACTCAACCAACGATAAATACGCTAGAGTACGCCGATCATGTATTTTAGGGTTTGTTGAGCGAGCGGTAACCGGCCGATCATTCGGCGTCAGACGAAGTCATGCCAGACATCTTTTCTTGGTTTTTGCTATCATCTTCGTTCTGGGAGTTCTGAAACAGGCGATTCATGACTTCAGCCAGTCGTCGGGTCTGCGCCGTGTTATCTTTTATGATCTTTTCCATCCGGGCAAATTGCCGATCCTGCGCAGCCAATGCATCCTTCTGCAACCCCACCAATCGTTCAAGGATTTGTTCGAGCACGTCGGGTTGCTGCACGTTCCTGCGGTAAGATGACGATCCGACACCGCCATTACTGCTAGCACCGTTGCTATTGCCGCTGGTGGTCGAGCATACAGCCAGCGGGTCCATTTTGAAACGCTTGGACACTTGTCCCGAACTGTTGACCACATAACAGTGGTCGTCGTTCTGCGCGTCCATGTCGTCCAATTCGTCCATCGTGTCAGAGTAATTCAAATGGTTTTGGATACTGCTATCCGTGACGCTATTTGCCGTGTCCGCATCTAACATGTCCTCGCCAACAACCACCGTCTGTGTATACGTGACCGCGTTCGCGTACTTTTTTTTTCTCTTCAGTATGTCGTGCAATGCTTCAAAATATGGCGGCGGTTTTTTAGGAGCCGATGTGTTCGGGTCAGTCGAGCTGATCAGGTAGTTCCGGTATGACTTCTCTAGATTTCGCCATTTTTGGTGGCATTTTATGCCACCTTCGTTCACAGAGTCCGCGATTCGATAACCTTTCGACATCAATTCTTCGCATATCCGCTTCCACACCCGAATTTTGACAGTACATTGATCATTAAACATGTCTTGGTATTTTTTTGAAGCCACTAGCGCTAACATTTCTCTTGTAGCTTCAATATCCTTTTGACAAGGTGTTCTCATACTCCACAAAAGTTGGTCTGCTTCTGTAATACACACATACGTAGATACACAATATTATATTTTCATTTATTTTTATCCATCGAAAATTAAATAACCAATTTTATTTTTATGTGCATTTCAATGTATAAAAATATAATATTTATACTTATAAGCCTTTTTCATAATGTTCTACAAATATCCATTTCATAACGCAATTGAAGGACTTGCTGCAACAACCAGATAAATCCACTTTTTTCAAAACTCACATTTTTGCGGAAATGTATAAAGGAAATTTTACTTGAAAATCAGACTCAACAACCAGTTAAATATGATGAAAAGTGAAAATGTTATTGAAATAGTTAAGAAATGGATTTATCTTGTTTTATTATTCTCTGCAACAACCATATAAATCCCGATAGTTTTTTTTAAACTAAATTTGCATTGTCCTGGACAATTTCAAAAAGTGGATTTATCTGGTTGTTGCAGTAAGACCTTCAGTTGTTGTTCAAAATGAATATAAAAAATATTGGATGGACATATTTTCGATTAAATAATCTTTTTTACCCAAGCTCAAAAAAGTGATTTGGTTTTCACTCAAATAAATATTATACATCGTAAACCATTATAGTTACCAGAATATTTTTATATTTTTTTATTGAACATTTTATTAAATCGGTAAAGATATATACCTAAGTGTAAAATATAGAATTCAATAATAATATAAATATGTAAATAAAATATGTGTTACACAAATTATTTGTAAAAGTTATGGTACGTGTATTTGATAAATTCGTAACATGTGAGCTAATCAGATTTTTATTGAATAATTTTAAATTGATTTATTTTTAGACGCTTCAAAACTGAGTATTATAAAATATTCGTCCTATTAATTTTAATATATATTTCAGTTTGGATTTCATCTTTTGGATATTATGATCATTAATAAATCTGGAATTTATTTTATAAGTTTCAATGCTGAATGCGTTTTATTGTTTTTTTTTTTTTTTTTTGTTTTTACATTACTTGTATCATATAAAATTGTAGACAGTAGAAGGTGCAATAGTATTTAATTAAAGACGAATAACTATTTTTTGGGCGAAAATTAAATCGCTCTTTTTTAATTATAAGTAAAAAAGGTAATATGGGTATAACTATGTATACCCAAAATATTCAAGGAAAAATTGTCTTAGCTCGTGAGAAGACAAATACATTGTAATTGAATATATTTTAAGAAAAGCGTTTAAGTCGCATCGTATACAATTTTCTAATTAAAAAAAAAAAAAAATAATAATATATAAACAATTAAAAATTATAATTTTTATTTATTATTTAAATTGTAATTATTGTTAATTCTCATATTATCTTTGTTATGTTCACTAAATTTAGTAGTAATTGTTAAATTAAATACTTATACTGGTAGCTAAATTGAGAAGAAATATATTTATTCAGATTATTGTTTTAAATGTTTTTACATAAAAACCTATTATCAAACCTAAAGATAAAAATAAAAAACAATTTAAAATACCTTTTGAATATGTAAAAGTTTAATATTTAACATAAATTAGGTAACTTCTAAATTGTAAGTATTATATTTTACAGATATATATTTATTTTTATAAGATGTATGGTCTACTTTAATTTATATCATGATTTTATAATAAACGAACAATGTTGATGTTGAATTTAGTTTAGTATAGTTTGATTTGAATTTTACAATAAATCATAGATTTAACAAAATATGCAAAACAGTTTATTATTATTAATTAATTAAAAAAATTAAAAACACAATTTATTGAGCATTAACTTAGGTTAGTGACGATCAGATTTATATACAATAAATGACAATTACGTATAATAAATGAAATGATAAAATGTTTAGAATAATCATAATTAGCGTAATATAATGTGAATGAAACTCGTAACACTAACACTTGAAAATATTGCCCATTTTTTTTTATAAACTAATTGTCAATCTAAATACATGTTAAATTTACACTTGAAAAAGTTAAAACGATGTCATTCCTCAAAATACAACTATGGAACCGGTATTCACATTTTTCATAAAAGTATTTCGTTGAATACTGTTTATAATAATAGCATCGTGTATTGATATCCCAAACCTTCAAATAACCATTAAAAACAGATTTATGATGGCAAATAAAGGAACAAAGGAGAGTAGATAGAGAATCCTTAAAAACTCATACTTACTTCACATAAAATTTTTAAAAAATTACATTACAAAACGGTTAGATATTAATTTACAAATTAATAATATATACCTGTCACAACTTGAACGATTGATTTTAAATCACGTTCGGGTGAATCTTTGGGAGATCCAGGGGGCGAAACGTACCCGAAACCAAATACTTCCAGTATATCTTCCGTGTTAGGAACTGCAATACACTTTCCACCTAAAAATATTTTTAGTACAATTTTCTTCAAAGTTTTGTGTACAAATATATGTTAATAATAATCGAAAAACTTCTAAGTGGTACAATTCTATACACGATTACAAGTCTTTATTTTTTAATGATACTCACTTGCATTGTCCAATACGATAAGATCACCATTTTCATTTACCACCGGTTGTTTTTGGTCATCAACTGCTATACTGTGATTATCGGGATTAATCCACTGAAACTTTTCTGTCTTTATTGTAGTCATGGATATTCGATTTATTTAACTAACTTAACATATACTTTATACAATTTACCTGTCAAATTATAAACGTGAACAGTTAAATATAATAGGTAAATATAAATAAAACGTAGTTAAGTACTTTTGTTGAAATTCATAAAATATGTGGATATGATGCATAATGTACAGATAAATTAATAATAATTTTAATTATTTAATAATTTTAACATTTGTCAAGAACTTAATCATCAAATAATTCAGACGCCCAATATAATATTATGTTTTCTATAAATTCAAGATAGATAAAAAACAAATTATATTATTATATTATTAATATTAATTTTATAAATTCAATATAAATTGAAGATTATTTTTATGTTATAGTCTAATAACATTATAATACAGTTAAGTTAACAAAATGCTGAAACACAAAGTGCATTAAGAAGATATATAACGAGTTATTCTATCATGTTTTCAATCGACAAAGGCACTTATATAAAAAAATATAAAATAAAAACTGAAGAAAATATAGAATACATACAACCAAAACATTATCATTACAAATTTTAAAAATATATTAGATTATACAGTAAGGATTCAATTTCTAAAAACCCTATTAAGACAATAACAAAAGATTGGCCCTGTTTCAAGGCACTAAAGCATAACAATTTTTCAAAGCAGTTTCTGTTCAAATTTTTTTTAGTTATATTTTTGTATTTTTTTTTTTTTATAAAAAAAAATCGGGTTATCAGATAAATACAATATGGTATGTATGATATGTTATCATAAGACAAATTAATAATTATTATATTGTATGATTTGCTACAGCTAATAATATAGTACAATTATGATTCGGAAAATACTACACACTGATACTGATATTTACTTTCTCCTTTTATGACAAAAATAATTTATATCTTTCTCATAGATAAGTCACTTTTTTATGTTAATAGTAGAGCTCGGATGTTAATGACCAAAATTTCATAAAAATATGCATTATAAAATATCACAATATGCAATTATATGCAATAAAATGTATTAAATATACCTATTTTCAACAAATATATGCAAAAAAAAGTTAATATTAATTCAAATAATGTATATACTCATTTGAATGTGTATTTAAAATTGCTGTATTACAAAAAAACACAACTAATAAATACGAAAAAAAATATTAATTAATATTTGATCTATTAAAGTTAAATTGTACACAGGTTAAGCATTTTAAGTATCAAGATAACACTGTACAACAATAATTTTGCTGATATTTTCAAACTTGAAGGACCTTCGACGATCCGACAAGAAGATTTTGTAGACTGAAAATAACACTATTAACGGTAATGATTGATAATTTGTAATAATATGGAAAATTTTTAATATTATACTTATAATTTATAAAATATATCCTACTTAACCTAGAATTAATTGATATATGCTCAAAAATGTCAAATATGCAAAATAAGTTTGCATATTTGCAATCGAGATTTCATGAATTGAATTTATATCATATTAGGGTATAATTCTTGTTGCGCGAAAAATATGCCAAGTCATAAACATCCAAGCTCTAGTTATTAGTAACCCATAAGTTGTTTGATGACAAAGTGACCACTAAAAACATTATTCAGAAAATAATCACCTAAAAACATTTATAATATATGTTCGATCTTGCGTATTTCAGAGTAATAATTAGACCACGGATTATATGCAGTGAACATACTCTATTATACGCATGCAAATATGCATCGTAAAATATAAAAATATGCAAAGACTATGTTAAAATATGCGCTAAAAATTAAATTTAAAAAAAATACGGAAAAATTATGACGATGAAATGTATTATAATAAATAATTATTATATTACATTTATGTATATTTATTTAGAACTATTTTTCTCGTAGCAGTATATCACTAAATGATGCTCCAAGTGATCCATAGTAAAACTATGGCGTTTGTCATCCAAAATAAATTCAAATGCAGAAAATTACTATTCAACATCACAGGACAGTATTTAAATGTAAAAGCCATGTTACTCGTTATTGTGTCGGAAAGTACAATACTTGTGCCATTAATGTATGCATCGATCATACTTAGCGAATCATTAGCAGGCTTTTTGTTCAGTAATCGAGTAATATTTGTTTTGATTTTTTCTGAAATCACTTCAGGCAGTCCAGCTGCTGTTGAAAATAATTCCTCCATAACTTTTAACGAATTATGTTGCAGCAAATTTCTTGCTCATAGACTTGTAGTTAGTTTTGGTATTTTAGAAAAATGTGTATAAATCAGATTTAAATCGTGTTATATTAACAGGGTTTCAAATGCTTCCTTGGTATCACGGATTGGTAATGCGTCAGAACTTTTTAATTGGTTCGTTACCAATTAGGCTAATAAGAAGAAAAAAATAGACTAGACTAAAGTATTTCTAGTCTAAAGACTAGACTCCATATATTATTTATACATAACGATGACAGTAGAAACTCGTCCGGTCAATTAGTTCAGTTGATATGGGCTATATATATATACATATATATATATATATATAAAATTAAAAAAATATAATATATGTAGTATGTGTTTTAACACATTTAATCAGTGTGTTTCTTGTTGAAAAATAATAATAATATGCCATTTACATCATCAATCAGTGAGATATGAATACTTAGTAAAGAAGGGCGATTATATGCAATTGCATATGCAGATATACAAATGCATATAATACGCGGTCTAGTGATATTTTTAATATCATAATAATAATAATGATATTTTTTTTGTATATGGTAGAATATACTGATTATCAGGGTTCGTAAGTTCATACTCTAAAAAATGCCTAAATAAACATGCATTTATGCACTTAAAATTGGCAAATGAAATGATGATATACGCTTTGAAATATGCCTTAAAAAGTTAAAAAAATATGCATTTATATGTACGAAATATCCAAAACTATGCACTTGAAAAATGCTTACTTAAAAAAATCATAAATACTCGTAATTTTTGAAAGAACATGAATTATCCAATTATTTTTTTATAGCTATATTTTATTTTTACGTCACAATTTAAAAAATAGATTTTAAATACTATTTAATCCTATTCTTAAGCCTTCATGAACTGCGTATAATGTACGTCTCTGTCAGTAATTAATTTTAGATCTGAAACTTTTGAAACAAATTTATTCATTAAATGTACGAGATAAAAAAAAAAAAGATAATACAATATCTATTTTTCATTTAGATTTTTGATAGATTCTAATAGAATGTTGTATAATATATCCAATAAAATAGAAATATGCATAAATATGCCAAATATATAAAAACATGCCAAATATGCAAAAACATGCCAAATATGCAAAAACATGCAAAATAAAATTTCACATATTTAACCGTGGTACCTTGAAATGGATTTCTGTGTCATTTAGTATTAAATACAACTTTGCAAGATTGATATGCAAAAGCATGAACTTACGAGCCCTGCTGATTATAGTTATTAAAATTCAGAATAAAACATTCATTCATTCAAAAAAAAAATCATCTATTTTTGCTGTGTGATTTAGATATAAAATATATCTAAATTTAGTTTTGTTATTTTTTTTTTTTTTGGATGAGTGACACGAGTAAAAATGTAGTAAAAAAAAGGGAAAACATTGGTTACATTGTCTGTTTATCGAAAAACACGGGTAAAACTCTTTTTTTTTTTTAAATCTTTTTAAATGGTCACATTGATAAGACCAGTGTTTCACCAATTTGATCTTATACTACTCTAACTCTTCTCAATTATCAAAGAACTAATATTTTAAACAATGTTTAGAACGCGTGAAGATTCTTAATTAATAATAACATGCACTAATTAAATATAAGCATAACCGATAGAATTTACGGATATATTTTAATTAATCATAATTCATTAAACATTGCATGTTATCATTTATGATCTATTACAATTATATTTTTAAAAAACTTTCGAAATTTTGAATTTTTTATATAAAATGATACACGCAATTTAAACGTATATATAAAAAAATACACGAAGAAGAACTTAATGGATATTTTTTTTAAATATTTTACAATATTATAAGTTACATCTATGATTACTCAAAATGAATATAACTTAAATATACATAATTTATAGTCAATATTTTTTTAAATAAAACCCCAGAACATGATTATAAAAATTATAAAATTAAGACGACGGTTTTCTTTTAAGAACACGAACAATATCAATATAAATATCAAGGAAATCTGATACACCCGGTTTGGATACTTAACGGTACGATGGATGCATCTAGTAAGACGATTATAGATACTATTATCGTATAACTAACGAGAGGATGCAGGGGAGAGAACGGGAGAGTGAGAAAAAAAATAGGAGAAGAAGCTTAACAACAGTGGTGACGGTGACCTTCGTCTAGACCCTCTATAGAACATCTTTGTGGTCCATTGCACAACTGAAATGGCACGGTGCACACATACACAAACGTATATACATACTTTGAAAAAGCTGGGCGTTGCATCGACCTCTATCGTAGTTGCATACACTCACACATACGATACGATGCACGTAATGCAATGTTGGCAGTTTAACCGGACCCAAGGCCGGAACGAGGAAGACGAGAGCGGGGGCAGATATTACATGACATCGTTATGACGCTGCACTGAACAGTGTTTACGTCACGATTACAAATCCTAATAATATTCTAATGTTAGAAAGAAAGGAAGAGACAGAGGAAGAGACCAGTAAACCTTTATAAAATACTTATCGTTAACAACAATCAATGGGAGTATAACTATATATGTAGTAGCAAACCAGAAGTAAAGATACACATAATAACAGTACTGACATTGTAAACCTTTATTTTGAAAGAAATATAAAAACAATGACCTCGTTGTAACTCTAAAAAATACTCAGTCAAATTGATGAAAAATATAATAATGAAAAATGATATTTTTGTCCTGCCCGTTTAGAACATATATAATTTACACTATAAATGTTACAGTATTCAATCACCAAATAGTAATCAGGATAATATAAATAATACTGTTAATATACTACAAAACACAAATCAAGTTATTAAATTAGTATGAA